AATTTTATAAAGTGGGTACCCAACAGACACTACCTCAGCTATGGTAAAGGTCAATAGTCATAACTCACATAAGTAGTATGGACCCTTGTTAAACTGTGATGAAATAGTGCTTTACCTCTATGTTCTCCTGCTAAATCCTAACCTCAGTCTAATAATGAGACAGGCAGCAGACAAATCCCAACTGAGGAACAATCGGTGTTCCTCACAACTGTCAAGATCATCAAAAATAAACCTTAGATCATTACAGTCAAGAGGAGATGGGGGACACTTGGCAACTAAATGCAATGTGGTAACTTGGATGGAATCCTGACTCAGAGAAGGGAGTTAGGGAAAAATGAAAGAAGTGTGAATAAAATATGAACTTTAGTTAACAATCATGTCTATATTTTAGCATGTACTATACCAATGTGAGGTATCAATAATAGGAGAAGTTGTGTGGAGCTTACATGTAGAGTATACTTGGGAACTCTTCTGTAAATATAAAACTGTTCTAAAAGTAAAGCCATTCAAAATTTGAAAATAAGGGGGCCAGAGAAATGGCTCAGTGGTTAAGAGCACTGGCTTCTCTTGCAGAGGACCTAGATTCAGTTCCCAGCACCCTCATGGCAGCTAACAACTGTCTATAACCTCAGTTCCAGGGGATCCGACACCCTCTTTTGACCTCCTCAGACACTGCATGACACGGGTGCACTTACATACATGCAGGCAATACATTCATACACATAAAATAAAAATAAAATTTTTAAAAATTGAAAATTAAAAAAATTTGAAAATAAGAAGAAAAGAGATAAACTCTAGAAGTCTGGTCATCTGATTAGAATCTTAGTCTGGCATTTAACAGAGTGTAACTTGAGGCAAGTTATTTAAATTCGCTAAAAATCCATTTTCCTATCAATAAAATGGAAATAAAAAGTATCTACTTTTTGTGCTCAGTAAATGAGATAATCCACATAAAATGTTTAACACAGGCTCAGGCAGCAGCTACTCAGTCAGGGTGGTAACTAGAATGATCACTACTGTCATTTTATACCTGTATTAACTATTACAATGCATGTTTAATGGGATTTTATATTTTATTTTAAAGTAATCAAATACAAATTATATAATTTTATTTTCTTTTTTAAAAGGGATAAAACTACATATAGTCTATTGCTTAGAATCTACAAAAATGGTCTTTCTAAGTATCTGAGAGGTTTTCCAGTATGAATTGCTCCAAACAATTCACTTTAAAATATTTTATTTGTTACTATTTTTTATGTGTATAAGTCTATTGCCTGCATGTGTGTAAGTGCACCCATGTGGTACAATGCCCTCAGAGGTCAGAAGAGGGCATCGGATCCCCTGGAACTGGAATTACAGACTGTTGTTAGCCAATATATAGTGCTGGGAACTGAACCTGGGTTCTCTGCAAGAGTAGGCAGTGCTCCTAGCCACTGAGTCATCTTTCCAGGCCCACAACTTACTTTAAATACCAATCTATGGTAATGTAATAAATGAATGCTCACCACAAGTTCTGTATGCCCAGTGTGTCTGCAAAGTAAACAGCCATTAGCATGAACCAAATAGTCAGACTATTTTTAGCAACAATACTGACAAAAATGATTTGAAGAATAGTATATAAGGATATGATTAAAGATAAAAATAATCAATTAAAATATGTAGTAAAGTAGTTGTTATAATAAGATGTTATGAAAGAGAATTTGGCCCAAGCAATGGTTCCCAAATAGGGCTTTGCATCCAGACATGTGTTGGCCCTCCCATCCACACTTAGTCAAACAGCCATTCTAGGAGTGGGAACTAGGCACTTGCGCATTCAATTCTAATATGAACAACCAGCCTGCTTTAATCCACACACACCCGTCGTACAAGCTGCTCTGTGCTCTGCCATTGTCAGAGCTGCCTTTGCTGATGTAGTCTCATAGTCGCCATCCTTAGGAATCACGATCAGCCTGAGAGAGTTTGACCTATCACTATTATAGTTCTTTTCCATATGAAATTTGGGGTCCTCTCTATCTTTAGATTCTCCCCTGCTCTGTGCATAACAGGATAGTCTCTTTCTCTCTCTCTCTCTCTCTCTCTCTCTCTCTCTCTCTCTCTCTCTCTCCCCTCCCCAGACTAGAGGATGGAATTCAGGGATTCCCATATTCTAAGCATTTGCTCTACCACTCACCTACACCTTCAGCCCTCACTACACCTTGGTTCAGTCTTCAGTCACTCTTCCCACCTCAAAGCTCTAGCTCCCCCCTTCTCTTTTTATTGACCCAATAGGGAAACGAGCCATGTTTAACACAGGTATTTGTCCTGGACACCCCAAACTAGGCCAGCCTTCCTTAGTGCAGAGCCCACAATTTGTGAAGCAGCCTGTCAATCCTGCTATATAGTCCAGGTGGTCAGGAGGCCTCACTCACTGCACAGTCTATTATAACAAGAACATTAAGGAGTAAATTTTATATCCTTCCCCTATGAGAATCAATATGCAAAGGCTCAATAGCCATATTATTATATAGACTTCTGGCCCACAACATGTATCGATTCCTGCCCAAGAAACCAATCTGCTAGCTCTAGTAACCAGTGCATAATTACTTTGGCAATGAGACCAGAGAGCCCACAGACATTAGCCCTGCACTGAAAAGACTTGAGTAACTGAAAGCTTCCTTAAATACTGCTCTACCGCCTGGGCCTGGAGAAAGCCAAAAAGGCACCCCTAAACAAACACTTGAGGAGATGCCTTGACTCTGGTTGGCCTGTCTGCACCTTCCCCACACCAGCCTGACATCAGACAAAATTTAAAGCCTCTCTTTTTATCTCCCAATAGGAAGCCTTGAAGCCATCTCGGTCCTTCACCTTAAGTCTCCGCCAAAGCAGAGGACTCCTTTGTTCTAAGTGCATATCCCTTGCTTGTTCTTGTGTAGGAGAACTTCATTTACCTCCACAAGAGGAAAAAAATAGAGCTGCTGCATGTTTAAACAGCACACTGAATTTTTTCAAGTCAGCAATGCTACACTTTGGGGAGGGGGTACAGGAGAAAAGAGTACAGCTGTGGGTAAAAGTACACTGTCGTGGCTAAGACTGCCTTAGTTCAAGTCCTGGCTCTGCCACTTCCAGCTGTGTGAGCTTGGGCAGGTTACTTAGCAACTTAAAACCCAGTGTCCTTCCCTGTTGAAATACTGGCAATGAGTGATGGGAGGGAGCTGTAAGGTACCCATATGAAGTATGAATTTCCGGGTTTTAATGCTATAGATGGAGATAGAGAATGAGAAAAGAAGTCAGTGAATAGAGCTGGACTCCCTGAAAGGCAGCAATGGGCAGGACCGAGTGCGGATGGCTCCTTTCAGATAGCCACATGTTCTTCCATTTTCATGCTCTCTACCAATCAGCTTCAGCCCCTGAAGCACTATCTGAATCCACTCATTAACTGTGAATTGAACTACAAATATTTTTCTTTTGCAAATACAGTAACTCAGGGAAATCTACAGACCCAGTATTTCAGATGCCATGATCTAGCATGAAAAGCAAAAATATGGTAGGAGAGGAATCTTATCTCTCAAATACAGAGTGGAAATATCTTTGTTTCTCAGAACTCAGAGCCAAGTAACAAGCAAGACATATATGGTTAGAACAAAGGAGTCCTCTGCCAGTTGAAATTATAGTTTAAGGTTGCTAATGGTGGCACTCACCTTTAATCCTAGCACTCGGGAGACAGAGGCAGGTGGAAGGATGTCTGTAAGCTTGAGACCAGCTTGGTCTACACAGTGAGTTTCAGGCCAACTAGGACTGCATAGTGAGCCCCTGTCTGAGGAAAAAAAAAAAAGAAAGAAAGAAAGAAAAAGAAAAAGAATGGGCATATTTTTCTTTTAGCAACAAAAAAAATTTTTTTCTCCTCACAGCCCTGCTATTCTTGGTAAGAAAAAACACTATTTCAGACAAAGCTATTTTAAAAATAATCATCTTTATCTCCAATTAACGTTAAATGTGACAGCATGAGGTATTAAGTCTAATCCCAAATACTTGCATTTAACATTTGTGCCTGAATTATTTGTGATTGCATCAACACTTCCAAAAGGCAGTTGCTCAGCTTCCCAATATCTGCATAAAATGAATTTTTTGAGGGCAAGTTTCTAGTTCAAAATAAAAAGCCATTCTTTAAACTTTCTTTACATTAGATTTGGAAAATATGCAAGTTATGTTCAACTAACAAAAGTGGGAGTCACATTCATTGCAAACAATAACTTTAGAATTTCTCTTGTAAGAACTGATTTGGATATTCAGGGGTGCAGTGCAAACACCAGAGACCGCCAGAGAAATGGCTCCAGGGGGAAAAGTGCTTGCCATGCAAGCCTGACCAGCCTAGTAACATCTCAGATCCCAGGGTGGAAGGAAAGAACAGACTCCTGAAAATTGTCCTCTGACTTCCACCTGTGCACCCACACATACACACATGCACACCCATTATACACACACAATAATTAATAAAATTTGGAAAAACACCAAAGAATAGGTTTCTTAAAGCTCTAAAAATAATTGTTTGCTTTCTGTTTGTTTCTGAGATAGGGTCTTCTGTAGCCCTGCCTGCCCTGGAACTTTCTATTTGGGGAGGCTGACCTTGAACTTCTGATCTTCCTATCTCTGCCTCTCAATGGCTGGGATTACAAGTTCCCACTAGCACTGTTTGTTTTATTCCATGCTAGAGAACTGAACCTATGGCTTCCCTCATGCTTCGGTAAGCACTCTACTGACTACATCCCTAGCTCTCTAAACATGTTTTCATATGAAAATTACATTCTAGGGCGACTTTTGTAGTGCCGAATAGGTATCACATAGATGATAATATATACAAATTGATGTGACCGCTGCCAAGTGAGTACAGCAGAAATCGTTTTTAAGCTTACGATGCTTTCTGGGGTGTCTGACTTTCGCAATCCCGGCACAAGATACCGAAGCGGTACCCCAAGTTTCAGAAGGGGGAGCGAGCTCGGGGCCCCCGCCCCCCTCGCACTCACCCAGGCCGCGCCAGCCCAGCGCGCCATCACAGCTGTCCAGGACAGCACAGAGCTCGCCCAGCAGCGCTGGCGGCATGTCGAACAGCAGCGTGTCCGCGGACAGCGCGCCGCCGGCCCCCCACTGGCAGGCCATCGCAGCTGGGGATGCGGTGCCGGGCCTGCTACCGCCCGGCGCAGTTACACAACCGCGGAAATCCTGCTTCCACCGAGGCCCTGGGACTTCGGAGCGCCGCGCCCCGGCCCTCGCAGGGCGGTCCCCACGTGACGCGCTCCCGCTCCCCGGAGATGCCCGGCAGACCTCGCCTGACCCTGGCGAGCCTCCGCCCCCGGCGAGCCCCTGCCCCCGGCTTCCTGTTTTGAGCTATCTTGTCGGTCATTGGTTTGGGATGTGAAGGATCAGACCCGCCAAAAAAATAAGAACCAGGACTCGAAGAAAGCCCGGCACCCCTTTGCTGCCCCGGGATGGGCGGGCTCCTGGCCTGGATGGGTAAGAGGTCCTCGTTGGGTCTTCAAAAGTTTCACTTTGTCCTGACAAAAAAGATGCGTACTCATCGAGAAGCACATTGTTGTGTAGTCTTACAAAATAAATTTAAACAGAGGAAAACGAGGATACACTGGAAAAGATGGGTGGTCAGGGCAAGCGCAGCAAAAGATCAACCAAATAAATCAGCAAAACCTTGTCCTTCCCTCGCAGACAGCCCCTCCCCACACTGCTTCTTGACTTTGACTACGTTCTCTTTTTGCCTGGACTTCCCTGATGCAACCTTGACCATCTTTTTCTTCCTCAAAGTGTTTCACAAAATCTTCCTTTTGCTTTTCAACACGGTGTTTAAATAACAGTGACTCTTGTTTTGAAATTTTCTACTGTTTATAATGTAACACCTTACCGCAGATACAGTACAGATGGTACTGAAAAAACGTGTTCGAAAGCAGTGGCAAAAACGTCAGCCTTGAAGACTGGGGGAGAGGATTGTGACCATTAACTGGAAAATACCAGCACCTGTTTCAAATCATTCAGGTCTTACTCTTTTTTAAATCACTTATTTTTTGAAAATCTCATACGTGATTACTGTATTTGCACCATTTCTGCCCCTCCCACGCCCCTGCAACTCCTCCCATGCCCTCCCTCTCAATTTCTTGTCCTATTGTTTATTCTTATATATACATTTATAAATATACATACATGTATATATATATATGTATGTACTGAATCTTTCGAGGGTTCTCATGTGTATCTGTGTTTAGGATTGACCAACTTGCAATTAGATAACCTGTCAGAGAGCTGGTCCCTGGGGAAATCTGATTCACCCTCCCCCAGCATCCATTAGTTACCTGTAGCTTTTCATTCAGAGGTGGGACCCTGTGAAATTTCCCTCATCCACATTGACCTGTCAACAGTGATTATCATTATACAGGTCTTGTTGGAGAACCATAGTGTGGAAATTCCCTAGGGGCAGCTTCCTTTCCATGCCTAGATACATTATCTAGCAGCAGGCATCCTGTTCCTCTGGCTCTTACAATCTTTCTGCCCCCTCTTTGGTGATGTTCCCTGAACCTTAGGTATAGGAGTTGTATTGTAGATGCATCAAGTGGGGCTAGGCACTGCATTTTCGTCAGCTGTGGAACTTTGTAATAGTTTCTGTTACAAAAAGAAGCTTTGATGAGTGGTGACAGCTACACTTATCTGTGAATATAAGGATAAGTATTTATAATATAGAAAGAAACTACATTAGTTTAGGAAAGTGACAGTATTAAGTCCTTCTCTGGGGTCTATGACCTCTCCAGTCATGTATGCTTGGCTATGCTTACATTACTATATGTGGATTCCCTCCTCTTTGGAAATAGCTCCCTCTGGAGTTCAGCAGGAATGGTGCCTAAGCATGCAGCCCGCCCACCTGAATTTCCAAAAGTAGTGAAAATTGATAAAAGCAGAATAGTTTGAGCAAAGTTTTTGATACCCTTTCATTTAAATGACTAACGTTTTAATAGCAAACTACATGCTTATAAAGGTCTCTCTATCTTTTATTTTATTTACTTATTTTTACTTTGTGTGCATGAGTATTTTGCCTGCATATATGTAAGTATGCCATGTGTGTGCAGTGCCCTCAGGGGCCAGAAGAGAATGTTGTATCCCCTGGAATGGAAGTTAAGGACAGTTGCTACCTGCCATGTGGGTGCTAGGAACTGAACCTGGATACTTTGTATGTGCAACCAGTGCTTTTAACTGCTGAGCCATATCTCCAGCCCTGTTCTCTGTGTCCTAAAGGGATTATCTGACTGTTGAGTGATTGAAGAAAGATAGGGTTAAGTACTGTGTTGGGTTAAGTTTTAAATTTCTAGAACAGGGAAAGCAAACTCAAACATGAGCATGGACCAGAAATCACTATGTATAGTTATGTTAGTTTTCTGTCTGACAAAATACCCAACATAGCAACTTAAAAGAAAGCAAGATTTATGTTGGCTCACAATTTGAGGGGTTTCAGTCCATATCTTGGCCCAATATTTTTTGTGTCTGTAAAAAGGAAAAACATCATGGTAGGAGTGTGTGGCAGAGAAGGATGCCAGCTTCATGGTAGGAGTGTGTGGCAGAGAACGATGCTGGCTTCATGGCAGCTAGGAGGGAAGAGAGAGTGGAAGGGGTCAGGGTGCCACTAGTCCCTTCAAAGAACCTAAGTGCTTTCCACTAAGCCCCATCTCCTCAAGATTCCACCACTTCCAAGTAATACCACAGGTTGGCAACCAAGCCTTTGGCATAAGGGCCTCCACGGGACATTTAAGATCCACACCATAACAGTAAGGAAGCTCTCAGAAAGGCTGGCATCATCGGGTCTTATGATTTACTTTGAAGCAAGCAGAAAGAGATGGAAGACAAGATCCACCCTTCAAAGGCACACCCCCATTGACTTATCCATCCATGAGGTTAGTGTCCTCATGTCCCAGTCATACCCAGATACTGATACTGGCTGGGAACCAGGTGTTCAATATAGGAGATGTTAGGGCTTTATATCTAAAACACAGCATGCACTTTCTCCCTTCTTTAGGGAGGAACTGTCTAGACTCTTCTCTAAATCTCATCCCCTCACTAGTACTCTAAATCCTATCCCTTTCCCATAATCGAAGGGAGCAATGCTATCATCGATCTCTATCACTTTGACTATTTTTTTACTTTTATTTCATTTCAGAATACAATATGATACTATTGCTTTCATCTTTAAAACAAAAATTCTTTGACGTCACCTCCCCATCTACCCCATGTCTTCGCTTCCTTTTAGATAACAATTGAATAGTCTCACCATCTCCAGTTTTTCTTAACCCTCTCTCACCAGGTCACCTCACTCTGTTCAAGTGATCTCTTCAGGACTGTCCATGAAATTTTAACATTGCCACTAAAATCCTATGGACAGTCTCCAGCCTCTGTCTTACTTGTTGATATCAATAGAAAGGCAAAGTCTGAGGAAGGATGACAGAAATAGAGGCTAACACTATAGAATGTCACTGGAAGCCCTGATGAGAAGCTCTTTGATTTGAAAATTCATTAAAATTTTAATCTTCTCATATGCAAAGTTGCTGTCTTCTTCATTGCCAGAGAACCAGACTGTATCCAAGCCTTTATTTCATTTCAGAATAATGGAGGCCTGTTCCCTGAGCCCACTTTTTGGCCATATCTTCTGTTCTTTTAGCATACTCCCTCTAGTCCTTTGACTTAACCAACTGCTTTCTGCACCAGAATGTCAAATCCAAGTTGCTTTTGGCTCGCTGTTGAATGGGCTATTAAAAGGTAGGGTTTAGTTGAAAGGTTGTTTCTAGCAATTCCTTAACAAGCTTTTCCTCTGGTCCATGCTGTACATTTACTGGCCAAATTCTTTAAAGGGTTTTTTGTTATTGTTGTTTGTGTGTGTGTGTGTGTGTGTGTGTGTGTGTGTGGTGTTTGTACTTGTCAGTGTGGGAATGTCACATGCATGTATGTGCAGGTTGACATTGGGAATATTTCCTCAATTGCTTTATTTATTTATTTATTTATTTATTTATTGAGACAGGGCCTCTCAGTGAATCTGGACCTGATAGATCCTCAAGACTGTTTGGCCAATGAGCTACAGGGATCCACCCGCAGTATTAGGGTTATAAGCACCCACCATTGTGCCTGGCTTTCTACATGGGCTCTGGGAATCCAAGTCCAGTCCTCATGCTTGCAAGGCAGGCACTTAACTGAATTAGCTATTGCCATAGCCCCTATTTTCTGAGATAGTGTCTCACTATGTGGTCCACTCTGGCCATGGATTTATGATCCTCCTGCCTCTGCCTCCAGAGTGCCTAGATTACATGCATGTTCCACACATGCAGTTATTAAACGTCCTACTCTCTGCCTTCTCTCTCTCTCTCTCTCTCATAAAGATTATTTCTATTTATTGATGTGTGTGTGTGTGTGTGTGTGTGTGTGTGTGCCACATGTGTGGGAGTTCCCAAGGAGGCCAGAAGAGGGTGCTAGATCCCCTGGAGCTGAGTTACATGTATTTGTGAGCCATCTAACATGGGTACTAGCAGCTGAACTCAGGTCTGAAAGAGCAGCAAGTGCTCTTAATCACTGAGCCATCTCTCCAGTTCCATCTTTATCTTTTTAGGGATTGAATATTTTGCTCTTCTTATCCTAGGTATTAGAGGTTTATATAATGTCCTAGTTTGCTTCTCCATTGCTGTGACAAAACACTGACCAAAAACAACTCGGGGAGGAAAGGGTTTGTTTGTCTTACATCTCCTAGCTTACAGTTCATCAAGGAGCCCAAGGTAGGAATTCAGAGCAGGAACCTGGAGGCAGGAGCTGGAGCACAGGCCATGGAGGAACACTGCTTACTGGCTTGCTCCTCTGGCCCCTCCTCAGCCTACTTTCTTATGCAACACAGGCCCACCTGCCCAGGGGTGACACCACCCACAGTGGGCTGAGCCCCCCCACATCACTCAACAATCAAAAAGATGCCCCACAGACATGGCCACAGGCCAGTACAATGGAGGCAGTTCCCCAACTGAGGCTCCTTCAACCCAGGTATGTCAAGTTGACACTAAAACTATCCACCACATATAATTTTATATAATCTCATTCTTTCTCTTTTGTCTTTGAAGACAAAAGGTCACCAGTTCTGTGTCATGGGTTGAATTGTATACCACTGTGACATTTATTTAAGTTCTAACATTGAATATTGTTAACAAAAGTCCCAAGAAGAAAGCTATACCTACATTAAACATTCTATACAACTAATTGACTGATTAGAAATCCAGTGTTTGTGGGGAGTTGGAATGTTACAGGTCCAGAGCTGAATTATCTTCAACTGTTTTAGACCTT